CTCCTCATTTATAGACGCTTTACTAAAGCTCCGACAAATCGTTTGGAAGACCTAGTGAAACCTTTGGTAGAATCGATAAGCCCGCTCACAGTACTAGTTAGAACAGATCCATACATTTTAATGCAAGTAATCTCTTTATGACAATATCCCAAGTGCTTTATTAGCATGTTAAAAAGATAAAAGAGAAAAGATGAATACATATATTTAACAAACATAAATACAGTTTGAAAATCATTGATCAGATAATATACCCATATTATTCATCGTATTGATTATAATTAAATATATGATATTCGTACATAATATCTAAATTATATGTAGGTATACATTGACATTAAAATATAAATATAAAAATAAAAAATTTACAATACAGTTTTATTAAAAATACAATAATTGTAGTCACTGTATTATATCGCTATAATTAAATGGCATWATACAAAGGCTAATATAGCAAAATAAAAATTTTAAATCCTAAAACCTAATTGACYGTCAATAGACTATAGTATACAGCTGTAATAAATTGTAGAATTTATTATTAAGCTGTGAAAGTTAAATTTTAAATTTATTCAGTTGTGTGAGTATCGTTTTAGATTCTGATTGGAGTGATTGGTTTTATAATGATGTTTATTTATTTTTATTTTTATTTTTTATTCTGTAAACACTTTTTCTTACTCTAAGCTTGCTCAAAAGTATCAAATGTAGCGTCTTTTCTAAAAGGTAATATTTTTGAGCTGGTACTTTAGAGAGATCATTTTTCGATTTTCAAAACGGTACTCGAAATAAAAGCGGTTAAAAAGGAGCAAAAACGTACGATTTCATGATTTTATAATATTAAATAATTATGGACGACGTTTTTTTTTTTCAAATTATAACAATATAATTAATATAGTATAACATATCCTAGACTGATAAACCGTCTCCACTCAGAATCGTTTTTCGTATACAATGATATTATTACATCATTGAATTCAAATTTAATACCATCAATTACAGTAACCCACTTGTAACCAACTGTACTGCAGACCGACATCCACTTACTTACCCGCTTTTTCTTTTGCAGGGTACCAGCTTAGTAGGTTCAAGTGGTAATATAACTGGCAGTAAACACAAACCAAACGTCGGATACAGACTGGGTAGGCGTAAAGCGCTTTTTGAAAAACGAAAAAGAATCAGTGATTACGCTCTAGTGATGGGAATGTTTGGTATTATAATCATGGTAATCGAGAATGAGTTAGCCAGTGCTGGAGTATACTCGAAAGTAAGTCTATAATATTGTACTACAGTAGGTAATAATACCTAGTTTAAGATTATAAAATGGTTTATTTTGATGATTATTACTTTCTCAGAATTATTTTTCATACTTACTTAAAATATATAGAWATTGAAAACAAAATAAAATATAATAATGTCAAAGTCCCCAATAAAATAAATCTATGAACAACTTTACTYAATTTAAAATATACAATTTTTGCTACATTAATACTATTGATTAAGTGGTATAGCTTTTATGGTTAAGCAATTTATTTATAATAGATATATAAATTGTATATACCTAATAAATAAAATATATATATATATGGACGGTATATGTATAGTGACATTAACTTCCATTTAAACAATTTTTAAAATGTAGCATAATGGAAACGTTATTATATACACTACTATGACACATAAAATTTGATTTTTAATAAGTCTAAATGATATCATTTTTTACTAGTCATATTTAAATAATTTTGAAAAAAAAATTATATTTTATACTTAACTGTTCTTTTAATTTGTAATCGAAACGTTATTATATACACTACTATGACACATAAAATTTGATTTTTAATAAGTCTAAATGATATCATTTTTTACTTTTTCTGTCAATATATAAATTACMTGTATAAATATTAAATCAAATACCAAAATATTTATTTAAAAAAAAAAAACTAAATTAAAACATATAGGTTTATATTAATAAGGTTTCGATTACAAATTAAAAGAACRGTTAAGTATAAAATATAATTTTTTTTTCAAAATTATTTAAATATGACTAGTAAAATTGATACTATTAAGCATTAGTTTTTGAGTTGTTTCAAATACCTATACCTATAAATTATAGTCATAACTAATATTATACTTTATTTAACAACTAACAATTACTATATTTTATTTAAGTATGTACCATTGCACTAACCAATTATTTTAAGAGTCAACAATGTTTTAGCTTAGAATGTATTGTAATATCAGATTACCTAATATTTATTACTAGTTACTACATTCTTTAATAGATAAATCCAATAAAAATCTGTAAATATGATAATATAATAATTATATTCATAATATGAATAGTCTACTGATTATACATTTAATGTAAACGGAAAATTGTTTTATTAAATTATTATCATGACAACAATAAATATCTAGTTAAAATTGYAAAAATCTAAAAACCAAGTACCTAGACTTTATACAAAGCATTTATTGTATCTATAGAATAATAATTTAAAACCAATATTAGTACCTATTAATAAGGTAGCTCAAGAAGATTAAAATTACTTCGATATAATATGCTAAAATAACAACACTATGTAAACAATTAAAATGTAAGACAATTTTATTGACAAAATAATATATCGATGGCGTAGTCCTCTATAAAACATTTAATCCATAAATCATGAAAGCTTGTTAGGAAAATCGATGAAAACCCAAAAGCACAGTAGTAGACCTTTATTAATATAATAATACAACAACGAATCAAGTTGCAGTTCACCAGCTATTGATGAATGGGAAACCGTGTAACATAATACAGACTACTACGCTTATTTTAGAGATAAAGCGTGCCAAAATGATAGTTAGTAAGTGGTAACTCGATTAAAATGAGAACTGAACAAATANCAGTAAATGAACTAAATTTAATAAAACATTGTTTTTAAGTTAGAAATTTTTCAATCATGAAATATAATATGCATAAAAGAACTACCAATGTAGATTGTAAAAACAATTATAATCAAATGGATCATAATATTTAAAATATAATATTCGGACGCAACATGTTATCCTCCTGAAAAAAAAAGTTGAGTACATTTTACAAAATAAAGTTTAAACAATACACATATTTTATRAAAGTATTTTTTTTTAAATTTAAGGCACTGTGAAACCTTTAAGAATAAGTTAGTGAAAAACAAAAACTTAGCTTGTAAACGCCATTTATTTCCACTTTCGTATTATTTCCAATAACTTAAATCAAATTCTTAAAATATTTCCAGCTCACTAGCTATTACACAGTATTAGCGTCCTATTTCAATTTGGATTTTGTAGTAAAGCGATTTTTTATGCACTTTGCTTACTTCTGCTACCAATGCCCTTCACATTTGGTTGTATTATATTTAAGTCAATATAGCTCTTTGAAATGTCTGCTTTTTCATTTTAATTTAAAAATATATTTATAAATACATAATAATTGAGCATATCCAATAATCATAACCTTAGGACCACACTGATAGATACYATTGKTGAGGTCAAATTCATTTCATAAAATATGTAAATGAAAACAATACACAAATGTTTTCAGTTTTAGTTTAACGATTTAACATTTAACAACTGACGTAGAATGTAAAATATATGTTTTTTTTAAATTTAAATATTCTATAATATTTCTATGAAATTATGATTCTAATTTTTAAAATAATTTTTTGAGTTGCATATGCCTAAAATAATTAAGTAAATGACATATTTTCAAAAGATTAAATTTCAGTTCGAGGATATTATTATACAGATTGTATATCCATATCAATTAAAACATTAACTAACTAACTGCATTTAATATTTTGATGTCTTAGGTTTTAAATTATCAACACTTTAATTTGTTATAGGCTTATTTTATAATATGGTTACTTTTTTTTTTTTTTATTGAACTTTTTTGTATATAATTCAATAACTATATATTGAGATGCTAATATGAATATTTTATAAAAATTACAAATATTTTATCTTTAGTATTTTGAAATCACAGTAAAAATTTTAAATGAAAAACTTATTTTACTTAMAAATTCTAGTTTTTCTCAAATATTTTGGAAAGTACCGGAAAATATTTACTTCTGGCTCCAAAATACCAATCAAATCATATTTTTTACCAGAAGGTGGCAAAGTTGAACATTATTTACTGTTTTCCTGTTCCAGAGACCATCACAAAAAAAAATACATATTATAGTAAAACCAATAAAATCATCGCTATGCTCAAAACTAAAATATCAATAATTTATTTTCATTATATTGTTTTATAAGCGATAAGAATTAAAATGTTGGCATAATATGTGATACATAATTAATTAGGTTTATACATACGATATATATATAATATAAATATATAAATATATATAATATATATAATATACATCGTATATATTAAAATATCAATTTTAATAAGTTAATCACCATAACCAAATCCAAGATGAATAATTTACTGTAGGTAACTTTATTTTAATTAGGATTACTACTTATTAGTTCATATTAATACTAATATTAATACAATTAATAGTGTACCAAATATCCTTAGATATAAAAACGAACATGTGGTGTCTTCTGGGAATTATTTTTATAAATTCCAAGGATTCCAAGAACTCCAAATAAAAAATATATCACAGTGATCTACTCATTGAAGAGATAGAAACAGTTTAATACTACTATACAGCAATGCGACTTCTCTGGCTTTTATTCATTGTACTTAGGTACTACTATATCGATTTAATTCTTTGTTATTAATAAAATATTCTTTTTAATCATATTCGTCAAACGAGTTTCCTAATAGTAATTTTTTTTCTTTAATAGTTAATACTACAAATAAATTGTATATATAAATTTAAATGCAAAATTTAATTTAATTAAGTTTACATATTAATATCCCCGCGTATTCTGTGTTATTAGGTATTATTCGTATTAATAAATTATTATAAAATATCTTATGTTTTGTTTTACGCAAGTAATCATAAAATACGATATTTAACATATTAACTAATATTTATTAATCTATGCTCTACTGATGAAATATTAAAAAAAAAAATCAATAATATTATAGTCTATATCTACGTTATTTTGTGTAACTCTAAACAATATACATCCATCATATATTTACACACAATATTATGCTATAATTATTATATATTACCATATTATAGTACATTACACAGCACATTATTACTCAGCTACGCGTAATTAAATATTGGTTAATTAATGAGTTATGTTTTCGAGTGTTCTACTTCTCATTTCATCTACTATAGGTTTTTAGAACACTAATAAATAATTAAGTAACAAACAAATTACATTATGATTCATGTACAACCATTCGATTAAAGGTTYTCATTCTTTATACTACTCGTAATGTGGGAATAGAAACATTTTTAAATACGTGAATTCGTAATTTATGTTCAGACGTATGCGATTAGTTCAATGTTACCACCAATACAAAAGGTCGGTTTCGGTAGATCAATTGGTTGAGATTCTATGAGCTTAACATTCGTCAAGGTGCTGTCACTATAAATAAGCTAGGCATTACCACCTTGCGACACGGTTAGAGTACTGACAAGATATCTTGATTGTAGACATAGTGATATATTTCACCATTTTACGATTCGATCTGTTAGTAACAATAGGGTAGGATGGAAAATGTTGCTGACGRAGATCAATAGAAGACATTTTTCAACGAAACTATAATTCCGCTTGTAATGACGTATTGTTCGAGACATTTTGTCTTTTTATTTGTTTTATTTCCAAATATGTACGTACGAAAAAACTAAAATAAAACTTCAGTCACTAAATTTACTTCAAAAACTACAAGGTAAAATAAACATAAAAAAATTGCAACTAATGTATCGATTACATAATAATATTTTGTGGAATTTGTATTCATGAATRCCATACTACAGCAGAACAATATTCCAATACATATCTCTAATTGTTGCTTGAATATTGCAAATATTGAAAATAAAATAAAAATCAGATGAGTTCAACTCATCACTTTACACTTCAATCAAATCCATTCCATATTTCTCGAGTATGGTAGGTACTCGTTATGAAGATCATATATTTCTTCGATTTTAGCTAATTTAGGCCCTTTTTTCTCCAATCTCTAAAAATTAAATAATTTTATATAGATATATCTTATAAGTAGAGCCCGGAATTATATACTTTAATAATAGAAAAGATAAGATGCTAATATTCTCTTAAAAAGTTGAAAATATTCTTCCAATA